ATGATCTCCCCCAGCGGCTTCACATAAATATTGAACAGAAGTGGAGAGAGGACCGACCCTTGTGGAACCCCACAAGTTAGGGGTCTTGGGGTCGACCTCTGTCCCCCTGCCAATACAGACTGCGTACGGTCGGTGAGGAAGGAAGAGAACCACCGCATCACGGTGCCCCCCATTCCCAACCCACCCAACCGCCGCAGCAGTTTTTGATGATCTTTTGATGATCTTTAAAACACATATACATTCAAATGGCTCTCTACTATGGAATGTCTTCTTAGAATGCTATTGTCTAAGACAGTGTCGACTTAAAATACATTCATTACAGCAAGAAAAAAAGGTGATTCAATTGAACTATTTTTCCTTAACCCTCAAGGAATGAAAATGGTTGGATGGCTTTAAAAACGGAGGGGAATGCTGGTGGAATATAGAGTAGGAATCGTAGATAGATCATTCAATACCTTAAGGTCTAGTACCTGTAGTTGAAAGGAAGAACATTAGTAATATTACAAGCATTACCACAGCTTGGCAGTGCAAGTCTGGAGATGTAGTAGTACCACCACACTTGAAACAGCTAACTTGCATAGTAAAATATCCTGGTAACTTCATGGACACATCAATTTTGTTTTCTTGGCAACAATTCAGAGATTTTATTTTATTATTCAAATTTATAGCCCGCCCTTCTCCTTGCGGACTCAGGGCGGCTGACAATCGATTAAAAACACCAATAACAATTTACAAAATTAAAATTAATTAAAATGAAATATTTAAATTTGTCTGATTAAAATATGATTAAAAACCCATCTAAAAACCCCTCTTAAAAATTGCCCTAGGCCAGTCCCGCTTGTTGGAATAGCCATGTCTTGAGGGCGCGGCGGAAGGAAGGGAGATCAGGGATGGCTTGCCGTTTTCCAATATATTTTTTAAAACTTTCTTGTTTAATCTCTAGGCCTAAAAGTGACTCAAGACTTTCCATCCAAGTATTAATCCAGTCCAATATTGCTTAATTTTTCAGTATCAGACAAGAATTGTTAAGTGACATTGTTCAACTACAGTATGTAATTCCTACAATAGACTATAACAATGCAAAATAAGATATTCTGACAATTAATATTATAGGGTATATTTCCTCACATTGATGCTAAATATACAATAGAGGAAAGACTGATGAAAAATGTTGGTTACTGATTTTAGGATAAAAATAAACATTTGATTAATAAGCTGTGCATTTCTTGTTTAACAAGTGAATGCTAAAATTATGGGATTGTATTACTGTGATACATAAGCCATTCTACCAGAGTAAAGCTGCTACAGCCTGCAATTCTCCAAAAAGATAAAAACAAAGAACATAGGATGTTAACTGTAATTTCTAGTCACAGAAAAAAAAAAAGATTCAGGATTTATTATTTTTATCATTTTTTTTCACAGTAAACAACAGATTACAAATACTTATTACCTTGATTTTCTATCCTTTCGTTTATAATGTTGACAGAGATTTATTTGGAAATAAGCAAAAGTGATTTCAGTTTTACCCATTGGTATACAGTATAAAATTTCAGATATGAAACAGTATTCAAAAATACAAGCATTTTTCTGTAACTGGACCAGTGAAATACACATTAAATTGTCCTTGTTAATTAAAAAAGGCAATATTAATTCATAAAGCATTATCAACGTTTAAGGAAATCAGATTCATCAAATTGTACTTGGAGATTTAATGAGAATAATAGTCCTGACTCTCACCTACCTCGAATCCTAACTGTAAATAACTCTTCAGGCACAATGATTAAAGTTTATAAATATAATTTTTAATATATTCTTTGGGAATTTATGTTTCATTATGGGAATTTATTCAATACAAAAGTAATATATTGCTTGGGTTGTGATGGTTTCTGTAATTAATATAGGAAACATTTTTTGCATTAAATTGTAAATTTTAAAAAGCACATCGAATTACATTTCAATAGTAACCTTTTTTTGGAATATAAACAAATACATTATTGAAAGACAATTATCTGCAATCCATTTCCTGGTCATTGACTTCGGGCTCCAAAGGATACAGTTCATCCAGTGCAAGTTCTGAAAGAATGTACACAGAATGTATAAGGTTTTTTAAAATAAAAATAAAAATACCATGTTTATTCAACACTGCTATTGTCGAAATTTAACATTATTTTAATACAGAGTCAAATTCCTGTCCATCATGCAGAGTAATAACTGAAGGGTTAGTAAAGCTGAGGGTAAGCAACTTGGTGGCCTCAATTCTTGGCAACTGGCATGCAGGCTAGTTTGACAGGAACAGAACAGGCTCCTCATTATGTATACTTGTGAAAAAGAATAAGCCAAAACATGTGCACCTTTGCACACTGAAAATACTAGTGTACCGAAAACAAATTTTATCATTTATAAGTTGCAGAAACAATGCTGTACTTACTCAGTCTGTGACACTTTTATTTACAAAGTGAAGATAGATATGAGGATCATCTCTAAAGCCTCCCTTATTGGCTTAGCCATTATTCAAATGATAGGGCAATTTATAGCAGAAGAGCATATTGCTTATAAAAAGTAGGCTCCAAGTTCAGTCCATAGCAGTCTAAACCCCAAGAGACATGTCGTCAACCTCAACACAACACTAAATTAAATCAAAAATGAGCAACACTTCTGAGCTCAGAGGTTTGTAGTGTATGTCAGGAGGATGCAAAATGGGTGGATCCAGGAGTTTCTACTCTGGAAATTAATGAACCTGACATATGTGAATAATGGAATGGGATGTAAAGGTCACATGTATGACCTTTTGTCACTGTGGGCAAGGAAAAGTTGATTGAGGTAGCTAATAAAAAGAAGACACAATGTTTTGAGTAGGTACAAAAAAGGTTTAAAAGCATAAGTCTCTTGTCCAAGAATGAACATTCGAGTTTTCTCTCTAAAGTCAACAAAAGCAGTTTTCCTAAGACAGAAGAAAAAGAGTTACTGTCCCCCCCAAATTATAAAATAGTTGGTGTAATCTTGGAAAGAAAGATTGATGGCATTATAAAGTCTAACTAATTCAATTTTATAACAATAATACTGCAGAGACCTGAGGATGAAACTATTATATTAAAAAAAGTTTAATTCACAAGGATAGCTAAAAAAGACCTAGTAATTTTGTTACCTTTTTTTTTGAAAGACTGAAGTTATGAATATCATCTTATTGTCTAGATCTCTATTATGTTTAATAAAATTTGTTTGTTTTGGAAACCCTTACAGGATTCTGGTTAATATGCTCACATCTTACCCTGTTACCAATGAAAGTAAGGATCTGTTCTACAAAAGAAGTTCAATAGAGCCAAGGTGGGTGTCAGCAGTGATGGTTATCAGTTAAGAACACTGAAAAGTTTGATTCAAGAGATTTAAAAAACCATTCTGAACCCTAGATTGCAATAGAAAGCTTGGGAAATATGCTTTTTAATTTTAGCAGGATTGCTTAAGATTTGGGCTACAGAATTTAAAATTTTCTATTTCAAAATGGGAGATGTCATCAATTTTCAGCAATTGGCACTTGAGGGCTAAAGCACAAGTCCCCAACCTTTTGGGCACCAGGGACTGGCTCCATGGACAGAGTTTTTTTCACGGACTGGAGTGCGTGTTTTTGTGTGCTGCCTGCATCTCACGAATAGGGCTTTGCTTGTTTCTGTGGACCAGTTGCTCGCATGCCATGGCTTTGGTACTGCTCCACAGACCAGGGATTGGGAACCCCTGGGCTAGAGAAAAGGTCTACAATTAAGAGTTTGAGAGTGCCATTCCTTAGCTGGATAATTCAATCATCTTATTTGGAAGAAGGTAAACTTCTCTGTCTACAGACAGGGAATGCGTATAACTCAACAATACTCTATAAGGGGGACTTTTATAAGCCAGAAATTAAAGGGTATTTCCTTCCAAATAGAGTCAACTCTATACTAAATACAAAAAAAAAAACCACCCATCAGTATTAACAAGTAATGGTTTGACACAAATACCTTTAGGATAGTCTCTAAACTATTCCCAATGCTTTGGAGCAGTGCACACTTCTGAAATTGTAATAGTATGTGAGAGAATGACCCTGAGGAATGAGAAGAAGACATCTTTCCTAGGAAACAATTAGATAAGTGGGGGGGGGAGAGCGGGAGCCCCAGTGGCTTCATGATCAAGGAAGGAAACTTAGGAAGGTCCCGCCCGAATGGATCAGGAAGTTAAAAGTGTCGGTGGGCGATCTGTACTTTCAGACTTGCAAGATTCTGTTTAGGCAGCTATACAATAAAGCAGAATTTCCTCATCTGGTCGCGTTTCCTGTCTGGTTTAATGTAGCCTTAAAATAAAGTAGAATTAGCTCATCTGGTTGTGTTTCCTGTCTGGTTTACCTGGGAGGATTACAGAAATTTGAAGAGGATGGCTGTCAAGGTCACAAAGCACCAAGAGACAAAAACCAAAACCCTCCTTACAAAGAAAGCATTCTTGAAAATGAAGATGGTGTTTGAAAATGACATTTTGGAGCACGCAAACTTCCTGTCCATACTCTAAAAATTCAAAGAGGGCAGAGTGCCAGGTGAGTTCTAACAGTAAGATCATCTAAAGGCTCAATTACAGTAGTGCCAGAACTTTTTTAAAAGCCACAAACATACCAGTAGGAAACAAAATATGTTCCACAGGAATTTCGGAAGAACAAAAGTTCAGTGAAATATATCCTTTATAATTCTTGGTCCTCGCACTGCTTCATAATATCCCATTCAGTGTATTTGAAGTACTAGTCCTGGGAAAGAATATGGCCCTGAAAAGTGCTTCAGCTAATTTGATGCCTGTCACTGTTGATAGCAGTTGATTAGTTAAAAACAGCTCTTATAGAAATCTGTGGATCAATTAAACATGAATATAATGCACACTCATGACACGGCAAATCATGCAGTTACAAACTCTAGAAGCCGCAATGACAATGGACCCAAATAGCACAGGTTTTGTTAACACAATTCTGCATCTGTTGCCTTTCTATGCTATATTATGACAGAGAGAGAAAACGAATGATGTTCATTTCTGAATAATCATGCACTTGCAGGTGGCACATCACCGTCTATGCTAGTAGTCACATGTTTAATGCAAGGAGTCTCACCTTCACAAGCTTTTAAATGCTGCCCTTTTCTCAGGACTGCGGTAACCCCAGACAACACACCGTCATATTGGTGGAGCACTTCCAGGCAATGTTCATGGAAAAGTTTATCTTTCTGGGAGAGACCATGCAGAAGCAAAACAGCATCCCGCAAAAAGTGTACAATTTGCTTTTCATGTACATTGAACAGGATTCCTTCCATTTTTCTGATCATAAGCCATTGCCTATGTAACATTACTATCAGAGCTTTCACTACCTACAAAAAAAAACAGAATACAGTTCTCATACAGATTGGGGTGTGTACTGTTACATTTATAATTGCTCTCTTTTTGGAATAGTACTATTGTAATCGAGACATATGAGATTCTTATTAGAGGACCAAGGTTTGAAGATCACAAGGTATATTTAAGCAATATACCCTGACTGTAACACTGAACAGGTAACACTGGAGATATCTTGATTTTTCAGGTGAAAAAAGCATATAATATTAAACTATGATCGTAAATGTAATTTTTAGTGGCTTACCTCAGAAGTGCACTGACAATCTGTTCCCACAAGTAAAACAGAGGATCTACAACATTGCATACACTTCGTCAGAAAACGAACGGTCTAAGAAAAATTAATACAAAATATTTTTTAAAATGCTATTTTAAAAGATAAAACATGTAGTATCAAAATAAAGGAAAATCCTGCCTTTCTCTGGCCCCAAACTTACTAAACAAATGTCTTTAGTGCTTGAAATAACAGTAAGGAGGAAGGAAGGAAGGAAGGAAGGAAGGAAGGAAGGAAGGAAGGAAGGAAGGAAGGAAGGAAGGAAGGAAGGAAGGAAGGAAGGGAAGGAGGAAGGGAGGGAAGGAGGAAGGGAGGGAGGGAGGGAGTGGGAGGGAGGACTTTCAAATAAATGTCCTGAGCATCAGGTTTTTAAGTTCAGTTTAATCCCTCATACTAGCATAACTAATGTATTTTTATTACATTTCTCTATTATGTAAACTTGGTTTCAGCCAAGTTCAGAAAAAAAGTCAGAGCTACATCATACACAGGTCTTCTACTCCATTACACATCCAAAAGCTGAACAATAGCTCAGATAGCTTTAGAGGTTTAGAAACTGATACAAATTTATGGTTTTTCAGTTGGAAGGCAGGATTAAGATAAACTTGTATTTTTATAATACGTTTACTCAAAAGCTCAAATCCTGCATTTAATCTCTCCTGTTCAAAAAACTGTCATGTTTTTACCTTTACACATGCAATACACTTTTACCTCTTGTTCCAACTGCAGCCAAAGCCCCTCAGATGCTAATTTATCGGGGCGTGATGTGATGTACATATATAATGCCAAAAGTAGGCAGGTTTCTGTGAAAAGAATTAAGTATAACATATCAGCCTTATCATCCATGTGACTGCAATGTCTTAAAAACGACAAAGCTCTTTTGAATACAGGGTGCTCCTCATTTTCTATATAACAAAAATTAAATACTACGGTAATTTAATTCATTTCAAAGTGGATGCCAGGACAGGACAAGTGGTAAGGGAAATCCTCAAAAGACAGAAATATTAAATTAATAAATTCAAAGTGGTGCCCTCCTGGTGTTTGGAAATAACTTCCTTAATCCTTACCATTTGGCAGGGATGCCAGAGGGTCAGGCTGCCTACTCCTAACATAGAGCACTTTTGAAATAAGCATTTCAGGCAAGATTCCCATAATTTCATCTAATTGGCTGTATCTGTGTCCTTTTCTTCCTCACTCCACTTAAATGTGTTATTTGTTCAAAAATAATATTATGGCTGAGGAGCTGGATTGCACTGATGGTCCCACACCACAGTAAACAATATGTGCAGATATTGTAACTCTCTTGGCTGTCCTTTGATGAGTACATCGACCACTTCAGCATCTTTAGACTTCACACACTTGTTTTTTTCTCCCAGAGGGACTGAAAGCAAGTTAATTTGCCTGGGCTCCTATATTTGTTATGCTTCCTTGCTCAAAAATATAGTAAATATATAAATATAGTTGGTGGAACAAGATGCTCTCATGACAAGTAGAGTGTTCAGCTGCAGTATGCTCATTCAAACTTGTTCAAATTTAAGAAAATAAAACATACAAACAACCTGGCAACAAATTTTATATTCTCTTCTTGCAAACTGATTTTAGCCATTTACTTTTAGGGTTTAAAGGTGAACAGTAATTCCGATCAAGCTAATTATGTAGCAAGAACCATCTCTAAAACTACTTTATTTCACGGAATGATACATGCAACCAGTCGCAGAGACCCAAAATGTATTTTAAAATAAACCGGGAAATACAGAAATCCTCAAGGAAACAACACCCAAACTTTGGAACCACATTTTAAAATGCTCTTGCTTGCCTTATGAATTCAGTGTTTTACTAAAGCAGTAGGACGGCTAAGATGTTCTCTTTCTTACCTGAACGTGAACAGAACCGAGCAGCCAGCTCCTGATGCTCAGCAAGCAAACTTAACATCCTAACAGTAAGAAGGACAGCAAACAAGGGAGTTTCCGAAGATATGCAGCGAAGCAGGATCTGTGACTGGCTATCGAACAAGCACTGAAAGCTTTATAGAAAAACATAAGAAAATACCATTCAGTGTCTGATTTTTCCAGCAGTTTATTCATATTGAGCAATCAAAATTAACCATGTAAAGAAGAGAACAGAAATGAAGCACTTCAGATCCAAAGGTGCTTCATAAGGAGATGTAGGTAGGTCACCCAGCATGCCTGTTGGCCCTGCTTTAAATCAGTTGTTTTTTTCCTGGGCTCACACACAAGGTGCTCCGGCATGGATTTGCTATGAGCATAACTTTGTTCCAAATATTTCACAATAATGCTTAGAAGATACAGAACAGCCTCAGTGACCTCCAGACGTGATGGCTTTGATTCCCCAGCAATGGATAGCCTAGCTGCCAATTTTTAGAGTTGAAGCCACACATCTGGAGGATCTCCTGATTGGGAGAGGCTGTTTTAGAACCCAGAACAAAACAATCAACCTGCATATTTTTAATCAAATGAGCTATGCCGTGTGAAAATGCCACGAAACAAATTTATTTAAAAATAAAAGTGGGGTTAAATTCAAGCTGTATGTTTACCTTATTAGTAAGTCAACTGTTGACTTTTCAGCTAATTTCACCAAAACTTCTAGGCACTGATTTGCGATACGGCATCTCTGGCATCCTGCTGACCTTACGCACAAGGTTAAGAGTTGTAGTAGCTTTTTAAACAAAGGATGCTGGGATTTGTCCGAACTGGTCACCTCTAATTCTGGGAGGGTTTCCTGAAGAGTAGCTGTATCCTGTTCATGGCAAGCCACAGTCTCATTCTTCTCAGAAACCTCTATAGCGCCTGGAGTACAATCTGCTTTCATATCACGGGACAGAAGTGTATTAATAACTTCCCAGCTATAAAATACCAAATAGTAAAGGATGCCCAGTGACACGAGCGCATACTCTTCAAGAGTGGCTAAAGCTTCCTCTACATTTGAAGCTGCACCTGAAGATGTCCTAGAGGAGCCAGCAGATTGATTTCCAGAAGAAATGCTTCCAGTCTTTGTCACTGACAAGAGGGCTTGGTTATATGCACCAATGTGAAGTTCCAGGAGGGGAAGAAGATGTACTGCTCCGGGAATTTTAAAGCACTTAAGGTGGGGCATGCCTTTCCTGTTCTGTTGTCCTTCCAGTGAGCCTCCATCTACAGCAATCAGATTCAATCCAGTTAAGGCGAGTTTTTGAGCAGTTCTCAATGAAGTCTCACCTTCCTGAGGGCTTGCAATCTTGCTACTGAATTTTTGTGTAGGTCCTCTGAGAAAACAAGAGGGGAAAATAATTAGTACTGTTTGTGATGTTCTGTGTATCTTCTGAAACTAGAACACATATTACGCTCCAGGCAAAGTGGGCTCAACGACATTACTGCCACTTTTTGCAAAGGGAATTTAGAATTTACTGTTACAAGGAGAGTTTGTCTTAATTTAATATTCCTTCTCATACGGAAACTGCTGTAAATTAGTCTCCACATAAGCACCATGGTTGTCGCTGCCCGTGGTAGAGGGAAAGGTAGTCCTTGACTCACAACAGTTCATTTAGTGACCGTTCAAAGTTACCACACCACTGAAAAAAAAGTGACTTTATGACAATTTTTCACACTTAGGACCGTTGCGGCATCCCCATGGCCACATGATTTAGATTCGGATACTTGGCAACTGACTCACATTTAGGACAGTTGCAGTGTCCCAGGGTCATGTGAACACCTTTTGCAAACTTCTGACAAGCAAAGTCAATGGGGAAGCAAGATTCACTTATGAATCCTGTTACTAACTTAACCACTGCAGTGATTCACTTAACAACTCTGGCAAGAAAGGTCGTAACATGGGGCAAATTTCACTTAAAAACTGTTTCACTTAACAACATAAATTTTGGGCTCAACTGTGCTCGTACGACGAGGACTACCTGTATGTGTCTTTAATTTCTAAGATACATTAAGGGTACATTTATATCCTCCATTTGCATTAACTAGAAAGGATTAGGATTTCTTATAATTCATCTGGACCAGCAGGTCCGGTAAATATGCCATGGTTAGCATCAATAGGGCAAAGATACGTTAGGCCACTAGTGGCACGCTTTAAATCAGTGGAGAGGTAAAAAATAAATGGATATTTGTCAAACACCCTCCCCCCCGCCCAGATTTACTTTGAATATTAAATTCCTCAACTCTTGTACCTGACTACTATGCTAGAATAAAATTCCACCCAAAAGAAAAAAAGTTTAACGTTCTCAGTAGAATGGGATCAGGCTTACTTTCCAGATTCACCCAATCAAGTTATCTAAAAATGATGATGTAAAGTAAACCAGCCTCCATCTGATAAAATGCTGTCTCAAAATATCCACCCCTCTGTTTCAGCAATCTGATTTCTTCCTCTATTTCAGAAAATGTGAACAATTGTCAATGGCAAACATACACACTGAAAGAAGCAGACTGCATAGCGGATCCAGTCCAAGCTTCAGGGTTGCTGGTAAGAAGGTTGCAAATTCCTAAGGATGATCCCGGAACAAGTGGCTGCTTCATCAGTGCATTTAGTAAAAGGGAACCTACAGTAGATAAATCCAAGGCTGAAGATACACGCTGAAGCAAGATACATAGTGTGTTTAACAACTGAACAATAATATATTTTGCTTAATTTTAGCTTGGTGCATTGTTACTTTGCATTACACGAGAACCACGCTGCTACGTCTTATGCAAGAAATCCTGATTAAAATCCTGGCTCTGAGTAGTAAATGAACGTATTCATTATATATTTAGTAGCTGTATATAAATTCTTATAGCAAAATATTCCCTCCCTTCCCACCATATGCCCGAGTTAATGTATTTTCTTATTCTGCATTTACTTACTTGGTACATTTTACAGTGATACTCAACTATCCTTATGAGTGAACAAATACCATATGCTTTAAAGCTGTGGCATTTGGTTTGGTTCGTATTTGAGAATAAATACATTTAGGTTGCATTCAGAAGAGAACAGTGTTTATGAAAATAACCTGGTTCAAACACTGTTCACACCTGTTTTCTGGATGTTAGGTGAAACATTTACAAGGTGCCAAGTGAAAAGAAGTGAAAAGCAGGGAAAATCCTAGACTTAGCATTACCTCACATAATATAATCAAGACTATTACACTGAGAAAAAAAACCGATTAGTTAATTTTAGTAACCATTTTTGGAAAAATGCTAGAGCTATAGCAGCAATACTGCTCTAACTCATGAATGAAATCGGAGCCATTTAGCTCTAATTGAAAATTCCAAGTTATTAGAAAACACTTTTTTTCAATTTCTGATTTCATCCTTTAGAAGACTGATTAGGGATTAGTCAAGCAGACATTTATTAACTAGCTTAATGGATGATTATGCCAAGATATATCCTAAAACTTAAATGGTAACTAGGAAAACCTTGAACAACTTAGTTCAAAATATAAGACAAAAATATGTTAATATAGTAGAATGGCTGATGCTAATATTAAGCTAAAACTGTAAACATTTAAAGTTAAAGTGACTTGATTTTTCTTTTTTAAAAAATATATTTCAATTTATAACTCAAGGTAGTAAGCAGAAATCATTCCAGGAAAGAGTGCATTCAGAATCTAGAATTTGAAAGTAAGGAATTTTTATAGGTCTCCACTTCCTGTGACTTTGGAAATATTTCATTTCTACAGCAGAACAAAAATACAATAAGGCATTTATTAGTAAATTAAAGGATGCTTTGCAGATCCACCACCATTTTTTTTTACTTTATTTGCCCAAGCCTCCTCTTCCCTCCTCCCATATAGTTGAAATTAATATTAAAATAGCCTATGATTTCCATTCATACAGGTTTCTAATCCTAATAAATAATCACAAGATCTCTTAGATGAATTTACCTGGTTTCAGAGGACAGCTGAAACTTGTTTCCTGTTTCACTGGCTCAGTTTCAAGGACAGTTATTTTGCTGTCTAGATAGAAAAATCCAATAAATCAAATAGTATTTATTTTTAACCTAGTATAAGTTGCCCTTCTATCACAATGCAATCAGTTTTTGGGATTGACTTATCTGATATAGGTTTGAAATGCATTTCGCAACTTCAGAAAATAAACAAGGCAAAACACTGCAACTACTACATTTCAGAACCATATAATGGCTGCAATTAAGAGAATCCAATTGCGTATTCATGTTGGGCAGTAATGGAATCCCCAAAGCTATCTTCAGAGATCTTTTTAGAGAAAGACCAATAACTGCTTCACATCTTCCCACAATGCCTATGCAGACTAAGCTTGACCCTATTCACTGAAGTCCAGCAATATTACTGGACCATTCCTAAATGAGACAGTTATATACATTAAAATACTGATTTAATAGGCCAACTGTGAAAAGAATGTCTGCTATTCCTAACTGTCCATTAAATCAGGGCTTTTCAACCTTTTCACCCATTGTACCACTTTTAGGATATGGCAATATCCGAGTACTACCAGTCGCCTAGCAAGGTGTCAAAAACTTGATGACACCCCCCCAAAAAAGGAAAAAAGTGATAAAGTACAGGTAGTCCTCGACTTACAACAGTTCGCTTAGTGACTGTTCGAAGTTACAATGGCACTGAAAAAAGTGCCCCCCCCAAGGCACAGCTGAGCAAGACACCTGCCCGCCCGCCCGGCGGTGCTCTCATTCCTCTCCCCCGCTACCACTTTTCTAGGATGATCGCGTACCACCTGCCAGGTGCCAATGTACCACAGGTGGTACCCGTACCACTGGTTGAAAAGCCCTGCATTAAATAGTAGGGTACATCTGTTTTTGCCAAGGGTCAAGCAATGGCTGGGTGCTAGACAATAGGTTCTTTGAGGATCTAGAGACAATAAACACACTAGTAAGGAGATTTCAAGCTTTAGTCTTTAACTGTAGTAGGCAAATTAATCAGAAACTCAAGAAAGCATAACCTAGCCAAACAAAACATTCTCCCTTCAGCTGCTGGGAAACCCATCTCAAGTAGTGGAGATATCCCAAGACCCTGGGCGCCCATTCTGAGCACTCAAACCTGTGCAGCAGCTCCACGTTTTAATGGACACATCCAGATTTTTTATTAAAATCTAGCCCTGCTTCCACGGTCATGAGAAAACAGCAAGACCTGACACCTTGACTCAGTATGTGTCTGGGGGTGGATGAGTGCATAACTCGAGGATGGGGATGAATGTATGATGAACTTTCCAGATAAGGAAAGTTTTGCAGCTGTGTGAAGATTTCCCCTTCCCCTTTTCCTTTATTCAGCAAGCAAGAATGACGAACAAGCGGGTTAGCTTAGAATGAGTTCTAAACTTCTAGAATTTTCTTAATCTGCAGGAGAAATCAAAATATGTCACTAAGCTCTCTGAAATACAATGGTCTTCCGCATTGCTACAATATCATCCACAATGCTGTTGTTACACAAATTATATCAATTGTATAATAATACCATTACACAATTAACATAAAATTATGTGAATACCACAGGAATTTTGTTCCCTCCATTAAAGCTATCAAACTCCACACAGCTGGGCAAGAACAAAGGAGCAAGGACTACATAGATTTCAGTGAGATATTGCTAGTGGTAGTCTTGGATAAATATAACATCTTGGAATTTCCCTATAAGAGGAACCTCATCAGTTAGTTATGGTGAATTTTTTTTTGAACGATTTGAAACATTTATTCTTTGATTTCTTTCTTGGGCTAAATTGTTATTTATGAGATAAGTGTAAACTAACTTGCTCATTTTCGCTTAGTGGTTTCTGTGCTCTCTCTCTCTCTCCAATTTCTTTCTCAACCTTCTTACAATCCCCCACAAAGACATGCTAAATTAATCTCACCACCCAGGTCAAATATAGTTCACCAAAAATCTACCTACCATTATTTTGCTGAGGAACATGGACATGGGATTGGGCCCTGGAACAAGATGGTATTGGTAATATCTGAGATCCAAAAGACTCTTCTGTGGGGTAACTTTTTTTTTCAATATGAGTGCATCTTTCAATTTTCACAGGGTTAGAGGGGCTTTTCTTAGGACTAAAAAATAAAAATAAAGTCTGGATTAACTGCACAGAGGCATTTCATTTTGAAACTTTAAAGGTCTTTTTTAAAAAATATAGTTAAAACATTTACGGTGAATTATATTTCCTAATGAAAGAATCTGAATGACAATTTTAGACATTCACAATGCAGTAAATGAAATACACAATGTCTTCACATGTATATTTTTCAAGCATAAGAAGAGCAACCTATGCATTCAAACACTAGAAATAAATTCAGAGTTTATTCTATGTGTTCAATTATAGTGTCTGGTCTCTAGCTTGTAAAAGAACTGTTCTGCAATTCATTATTTTCAGCTATAAAGGGGAGGTAAAGAAATTCTTCAGTAACCGAACTCCCTGAAACAAATTCAATTTTATTTTGTACCTGGTATATGAAACAGGGGTCACAGGTTTAATCCTCTCACAATTCAAAATCTTTGTTCTCATCTCATTCATTTCAGCATCTCTAAACTGTAGTTCAGACTGCAGTGACTGTAACTAAAAGGGCAAAGACATTTCAAATTCCACTGAGCACAGAAAACAATATACAACTATGAAAGAAGCCTGCAATTCTTTCCTCACTTTCATTTGTACTTTTGCTCTTTTCAGTTACATCAAAATCAACACTAACAGCTTATTCATCAAAACAGTAAAAAGTATGTTCTCCCATTCTGAGAAAGTGCTAATATTCCCAGGTACACTCTACACAGTATTTACAAACATAATAAAAAGCTTGTCTCTTAAAAGCATGAACAGTTTGCGTTTCCCACACAGAGACATGCACAAAAGAGAGAGAGAGAGAACAGAAGCATTTATTATAGCAATTTAGCGAAAAATATTCTGGAAATTATTCACTTTCAACGTAGTAGGGCAGAGTGCTTGTACACAATCATCTTGTTTTAAACTCCAAGAGGAACAAGGATGCCTGAGATAAGTTGTACCAAAAGCATCACAAGTATGGTAAGCCATTTGGCTTATATTTTACATTTCCATATGTAGAAGACTTTTTGAAATCTTTCCTTACCATTAGAATCCCATTCTCTCTATCTCTCTGTGTGTGTATATATGTATATGTGTGTATGTGTGTGTGTAGAAGACTTTTTGAAATCTTTCCTTACCATTAGAATCCCATTCTCTCTATCTCTCTGTGTGTGTATATATGTATATATATGTATGTGTGTGTGTGTGTGTGTGTGTGTGTATAAAATTAAAGGAAAAGAAGGTTATGTAAATATATTACTTAGTTATGAAAAAAAAAACAACCAAACACACGTAGTCAGCCTGCATTCCTGTCATTGCTGGAAGTCTCCCAGAGAACTGTTGGCTTTACGATATTTCCCTCTAGGGGGTCTGAGGCTGAACAACAGTGCTGACATCAGAGAAGCAAATCTGACTTTTGAAATCCCCCTTGCATAGCTTTGGAAAAACATTAACGCTGGCAGAGCCAAAAGGAGCTACTCTGGAATGGACAAGGGACATGGATCCAAATTCCTTCTAAACATGCGATAAGGCTTCCAGTTTGGCAGGTAATCAATGTCAGGCCTTTGGCAGAATAATTCCCCTCCCTTGGTTTCAATTGAAGGGTTGCTTTCAATAAATAAATGAAAAAAATAAGATAACAGCCAGAGTGGAAATAGAACATCAAACAGTTCATCACTTGCACACATTTTTTTTCCAATGTGCCCTTGAGTTACTCTTGACTCCTGGCAATTGTCTGGACAAGTCCTGCAGTTTTATTGGCAAGATTTCAGAAGTGGTTTGCCTTTGCCTTCTTCCTAGGCATGAGAGAGAGTGACTAGCTGAAGGCCATCATTCAGGATCACAATAATTCTGACCTAATAATTTTATCCACTACACTGGTTTTCATTTGTCCGTTTACCATTGGAAAAAGCAGTTTGCCTGCCATTGCTCATTAGCAAATGGGCTGGTGAAATCATTTTGGCTGATTATTTTCAACAAAGGACTTCTTAGATCTCAGACGTTTTAAGGCAGTTTAAATTGGTCATTTGTTAAATAGTACCTTTCTGGAGAATTCCTTTTCTTTTTCACTTAAACACTCAGCTTTTTCTCTTTCCAGTAATATGTATGATTTCCGCTGCTCCTCCACAGTAGATTCCATCTGCTGCATTGAATCCCGCAAAATTTTTATTTCTCCATTTTTAATTAGGATTTCATCCTGCATTTCCTTCAACTGCAAATTCACAATTTAAACATTAATGTAATTAATCTATTTGCAGACATGTTAATTTTTATTCAAAATCCTAATAGAAAAATAACTTAATTATAAAGTGAATTGTTTTTCCTGCAATACTAACTTAGATGTTAACTCTGATAAACTGATACATTAATATATTCTGACAAAGATATCACAGAGATAGCCTCAAGAATTTACCAGATTTCATATCAATCCAGATGAATTTGGGTATTTACAAATAATTGTTATAAAAGGTTGAGATCAATTCAAGAAATGCAATCATGACTTCTTTAAGCCTAAGATTAAAATAGAAAAACTTACGACAATAGTTTTAATTATCAATGTTTAGTACAATAACAGCATTAAAAAGACTATTCTTCCTAAAATTTCCTTTGTTCAAACATATCAAAGTTATGCTACTTTATTTCATAAATGGCAACCGGCTTTTTTCATTTATGAAACTATAAATAAACTGGAATTACACAAACCGTGCAATATAAGCAAAAGTATTGTGAAGGATTAAGAATACTGAATTTGGAACATTGTTTGGATGCCCTACAATTAAGACAATTAATTTATATAATCAGAAATTCAATTAATGCAGGATCAAATCTGAGTAGGTCACCGGGACCAAAGGTTTACTCTTCCAAGCTTTTGGACTCGTGCTGGAGCCCATCATCAGGGAACTTCTCCCTCTTCAGAATATGTGCAGAGAACAGTTCCCTGATGATGGGCTCCAGCACAAGCCTGAAAAGCTTGGAAGAATAAACTTTTGGTCCCGGAGACTGACTCAGACTGGATCCTGCAATATTATCCCGGGATGTGTATATTTACCTTCATTTGCAATTAACGTTCACAGGTACGGATGAAATTAGCACCCTATTTCCATTCTGGGCCATATGTTTTCTCTGTGACAATTTGTTATCTGAAACTGGTATTTGAAAGAGTAGAAGCTTGAAAAGATACTTTCGGCTCATGGTTTCTTTTCTCATTTTTTATCATTCTTTAAGGATAAACTTGGTTAATACAAGGAATGGAAATACTGGTTGAACTTGATTTAGAATTGGTGCTTAATGACCGTCTGAAGTTATGACAGACTTCCAAAAGCTACTTACAACCTATCCTCGGTGTTACAACTGCCATACACCCCCATGGTCAGGTGATCACATTGGCAACCAGCTCACATTTGCAATCATCTGCAGTGCACCATAGTCACATGTCTGTGGTTTGCTTTTTTTTGCAGTTTTCCAGCAAAAAATGAAAAAAAAAGCCCACTGGATATGCTGAATTCACTTAATGACCATATGGCTCATTTAACAATGTGAATCACTAACAACTGTAGTGACTTGATTTATGATGCAAAAACAATTGTAGAATCAAGTCCAGTCACACAATGCCTCAACTTAGACCACCACAATTTATACTGCAATTCTAGGCCCCACTGTGGTCATAAGTTGTGGACTACTTGTATTACAAGAGAGACTTGATTATTAAAAAAAATTCTGGGATTGCAGAATATATTATGGAATATGACTGATTACAAATCCTGACTTGGTTTTAAATGAGTCTTTCAACCACTATTTCTTCTGCTAAGTAGGCCTTAACAATTACAACTGTCAAAACATTAGTAAAGTGGTACACATCTCTTAATTTTACATAAAACTCATACATCAGGGGTCCCCAACCTTCAGTCCCTGGACTGGTACCGGACCGCAGAATACTAGCAACTGGGCCGCGCAAACAAGCGAAGGCCCCATCCACTGGATGCAGGCAACACATGAAACCACGCCCTTTCTGGTCTGTGGAAAAATCTTTCTCCATAGAACCGGTCCCTGATGCCCAAAAGGTTGGGGGCCTCTGTCGTACATGACACACAGCAAGGTCTGCTGAAAGTCTTAAAACTGCCAGTGTATAATTTAGAATCTGATAAACAAATTATATTTAATATGTTGGAAGAACACTAGAATTCTTTGTGACATAGAATTCATTTCAGCAAGTCAAGAGCTGATCATGAAGATAATCTGTAGCTATTCCTGGACTTTGTTGAAACTACTGTATTAATAGAGTTATGCAATGCTTTAGATTGAGTTCCAAAAAGTGCTCCAGAATGCAAATGTAATCTTTGTTTGCAGCTCTTCAAAACAGCTGCATTTTCTTGGGATAATGTGACAATTGCAGAGGGCAGCCACACAACCTCAAGAAAAAACAGGATTGCTTTAAAAGGTCTCAGGTTCATCTTGTGCATTCTAAAGCACCTTTTAAAACATTTACAGAGTTACAACTGTATTAAAAAAGTTATAACAATTTGAGACTGTGTTACTAGAACTGTAAGCAAACTGGTACATGTTATTATCTTTGGTATAATCCCTTTTTTAAATTAAAAGGCTTTGAAGAATTTGTGGACATCACACAACTGTCTTTACCATAAATCCTGCTAATATAATGTTTGTCAAACTTTTTGACATCGCAGTTCCCTAAATATTCCACCTCTAGATATTATAGGAGATTTACATGTTTGCATAGGCAAAATGAGAAGCAAAACCAAGAAAAGATTCTTGACAGTGTTCTTGCTTTGTTAACGCAAGACTGAGCAAGTTTTTGAAAATTAGTAACTCTCTCCTCTCTCCCTGAAGGGTCCTGACCCAAAGTTTGGGAAGAAGTGTCTCTGCTGCCCAGTCTGAGGGTCCAGGAATGGAGCTTTTTAATGGCTGATGCGGAATGAATTCTGCTTTTGATTGAAATTTTCTGGTTTTTAAATTGATTACGGACATACTTATATGTTTGTATATTGGATTTTAACTTGTTTTTACTGAAATGATTTTTATCTGTTGCAAGTTACCCAGAGTATCTTAGATCAGATGGATGGCCATGCAAAATCAAATAAAAAATAATTTCTTATGGGAGTTTATTATCTACATCTCCTAATCTATATAAAATTTCCCCTCTTAAGCAATGGATTTAATTCAAATTGTTCCTATATTCATTACTGCAACAATGAAAACTTAAATTAATATTTGAAGTTTTTAATGTATGAAAAATTGCTTTCACAAAAAATCATTAGAACAAACACAGCTTTGAAAATTCCTGCAACTGAGGAAGAAAAGCAAATCGAGTTCAAATGCTGGTAATTTCATGGCAATGATACAAATAAAGTTTGCCCCTGTGTTCTACTGTGATATGGTTTCAAATTCTCAGACTACACAATAGCCCTGAAATTCCTTGGAGTTCTGCTATCCAAATATTAACCGTGCCCAATCGCGGTTAGCTTTCAAGCCCAGAAAGTTGGCAAATGTTGCCAACTCTGGAGGCATAAAATTTGGTCTTAATTTCTTCTTTATATTAACAATATTTGTCCTAATAAATTTACTTCCATTTGAATAATTATAATAATTATTATAGACAAAACTAACCAATAAGGATTTTATTTTATATCACAAATATGTAGTACAGTTGTGCACACTCAAAATTATTTGGACTTTGTATGAGCACATGGCCTCTCTGCTGTTCATTAAATCAACACATTTTCTTCAACCACTCATAATTTACTTATATCTGTTGGAATATTTGTAAACACATACACAATTTTCTTACCTAATTATCCCTAACTATGAAACCTTCCTTTTGAAACTAAGCATTCTTCAATTTCTTCTATGTCTAGATTACAATTCTATATATAGTTAGTTCAAGAGTAAGTTTCAATGAATACTACAAAGCTTTCTCCTGAATAGCAGGTACATTACATGGTCAAGTACACGAGAGAAGCTGCATCAAACGTTTCAGGACTAGAACTTAATTCCTGGGTAAGTTTCAAAAAACATGAACGAGTTGCATCTCACCTTTTTCATGGCCTCTTTGTGTTGTGCCTGGAGTGTTTCAAGTTTAAATCTTCCTTTAAGTTTCATTTCTTCTATGCTATTTCCTGTAGATAGAGATTAATCCAGTAAGGGTTAGATTAATTTTTAATCCATTTTTTTATTTTTGTTTCTTATTTTAAGTGTGGGAAAAGGAATGGAAGGCTCACAAACTACTTGCAAGTGAATCTTTCAAAATTTTCCCCCAATTCCCAAAGTGCTATTTTTGGCTCGATTTCAGATGTTGTTTTCAGGAGAGTTAAAATCGGACCTTTCTTTCACAAGGACTTCCTATTCCCATCCCATCCTTAAAACCCCTATAAAGAGCCAAAAAGATTCTGCAATCGGACTGAGAAAAGGTAATTCTAGTCTGATTTGGAGTGAGAATCAGATCAGTTAAATGTTTCCATTATGATCCCCAATCTTAAGCTTGAATAAAAAAATCAGTGCTTAATTGTGGTCATTTTGCTATCATGATTCAGCAATATGGTCTCAGAGTGGTGATAGGAAGTTACATATGGCTAATAGAGCCATTCCTGCCTTATAATTATGCCTTCTTTATAAATGTTAAGTTTTATATGTAGGAACTTTAATTTTAAACCAAAGACAAATACAAAGACAAATAGGCAATGATTCTGTCATGGTTATATCTTCTTGCTAGGAAAATGGGTTTTTTTTTACCGTTTGTGTTTACTAATAGAATATTGATAAGTGACAGGCCAAGCCTGTACTGCATACAGTACAATAAAAACCCTGCTCTTTCACATAGCCTTATTTTTTTATTATGTTACCCAACATGGAAATGTAGGGGAAAAGGAAAAGAAAAATGAACTAATTTACCAGAAGATAAAAGTGGATTTGTTGCAAATTCTTTCCATATACCTACATATTTGATTCATATCAATCCACCACCTCTTATCGATTTCTGTATTCACTGTGTACATACCAAATGATTTTGTCTCAGTCGTTACAGTAATATTCCATTGATCGGGTGTTTTGAACTGATTGGTGCTACTTGGGAAAACGGACAACTGAGCATTTTGCTCTGTTTTGAACAAATTTGTTTCTGAAGAAACATCTGGTGTCAATGCCTGGGAAGCAATAATGTCTATCTCCTTCAAGTCATCTACTGTAAAATCATCATTATCCCCAAATGGATCTTCTGTCTCTTTACATTTGGGTAAAGCAACACTTTTGTAACGCTTGTTTGGTGGGAATCCTTCACCATGATTTCCAATATTATTATGGCTCATAGATCTCTGGAAAGGTGAAGATGAAGAAGTAATTTTTGTCTGATCAACATCATATAATATAGAGCTGTTTCTCTTCTTATTTCCAAAGAAGTTATTCACTGACATTTTCTATTAACATAGGCCTGGCAAATAGACAGAAAAATAAAAAAGTAGTTAAGAGTTCAACCAAATGTTAATAATAAAGAAACATAAGAGATCAGCAGAATGACATAAACAAATTGTATTAGGGTCTCATTGACTTATTTCCTAAGGTCTTGAAAACCAAATGCATGCATATTTATCACATACACCAAAGAAAAACTTCAGGAAGTTTACTGGTAGGCCCAATGATTTGTAAAAACAATGAAAGAAAAAACCAAGAATTTAAACACAATTATATTCCAGCCACAGTCCTATACATGTTTACCTGGGAATAAATTCAACTGAATTCAGGAGAGTTTATTTTGGAATAGATATGCACAGGATTGCACTTTAAGCCATTTGAATTCCAGAGGAAAGCTATAAAAATTGATTACACAAACCTCTTAGAGCAGTGGTTCCTAAAATAAAGAATTTAGATTTAATAATACATAATACATATTACAATAGTTTAGTGTAGCTTTTCTCAACTGGGGTTTTGTGAAACCCTAGAATTTTATGAGAAGTCTCTAGATGTTAAAAAAAAAACCTTCTTAATTCTGGGCACTGTAGGCATAATTTTTATGTTCCCTGAGACATGAACATTATTTTAAGGGTTCCTCCAGAGTAAAAAGGTTGAGAAAGGCTGGTCTAGTAAATAGGCAAGATCCAAAAAGATGCTTAAGCACTTCATAGCTTAATCCTACACATTTTTATTGAGAAATAATCTCACCAAGTTCAATAGTATTCAGTGTAGAGTAAGAATACTCTTAAAAGATGAGCTACAGAAGCCAATCACTAATCAGATGCCCATTCTAGGCTTCCTGTTGCTCAAGGTATATGTTCACTTTAGCTTTCCAGCTATCAAAACTCACAATCTTAAATTTATACTAAAACTCACCTTGTTCATATTTCTTCTTCTATCTTAGGTTTATTTGAATAGTTCCTCAGACCCTTGAAGGTTTTACCTATGTAAAAGTCACCTGAGCTACAAAAAGTGTGCCTGCAAAATATATTTAGTTAACTGATCGTTAATTTAAGCCCGACTTATCACTGAGTTTTCCGGGCTCTTATGCCAGAACTGAATCATAAACGAGCCACAGCGGCGTTTATCCTACATCCATCAATGTTATTGATGTGCTTTATCAACACAGACATCTACCATTTTTTACTTCATAACTCGGGTATCTAACTTGCATACTCAATTTTTCTTATCGCAGAAAAACGGGGTGAGGTGGAAGCGAGCGTGGAAATGGATTGGAGAGAAAACAGGGTTACCTCCTGCACTGTCTATAGCAGGGGTAGGCAACCTCGGCTCTTTTATGACTCATGGACTTCAACTCCCAGAATTCCTGAGTCAGCATAGCTGACTCAGGAATTCTGGGAATTGAAGTCCATGAGTCATAAAAGAGCCGAGGTTGCCTACCCCTGGTCTATAGACACTAAAAGCAGGAAGCAAGCGGGAATTCCCTCTCGCGCATCGCAAAAGGCGTACCGAGGGTCACGCTCCCGGCCCCAGCGCGGCGACGGCTTCCGGTTCTCCTGCAACTCCGCATCCTCTCCTTCCGTCTCCTCTCGTCTCCTCCTCTGCAGTTCCGCAATATCGAGACCGCAATATCGTCTTAAGAAAGCGAGGCAGCCAAACCTCCGTCGAACAGCGCTGCGAGAAAAGGAGTAACAGACCGTCCGAGCGTCCTCCCGAACACGGCGGGTGATGGCGGCCACGCCCCCAATCCCCACCGACCAATCGCTAGCTGACTCCCCACCAATGACAGCACCGGTGCCCTTAAGGTCCGATCGGCTTTTTGGAAACGGAACGTAAAGTGCCGCGCTACGGAAACGCAGCAGCGACAAAATGTGAAACGCCAAGGAAGGAGGGAAGGAAGGAAGGAGGGGTTCGCCCGGTTTTCTTTGTGGGATTATTTCCAAACTCCTTGTCTCCATTATTATTCAGGATTTACTTCATCACTTTTTGGCTAGCGCGGTAAAAAATGACAAATGCTCCTAAGGATGGATGTCGAAATCCAAGGCTTTTTAGGTTGCAGCCACTAAATTTCTACCTCCCACAATAAAGTGAAAAAGAGAGTCAATGGTTCTCCGGATTTGAAAAGAGCATTAAGGTGGAAATACAATTTGATTTTTATTTACTCTGTGTTTACATAGTAGCTTTCAATCTAAACTAACATTGCAATAAAAATCACAGCACAGCAGTACAAAAGATCTACAATTAATGAAGAAAATAAATGATAAACTAGCAGCGGTCAGAAATGCATAGGTTTTTTTTTTTTGCTATCTGTTGAAAAAGGCAGCACATATTTCAATTGCATTGGCCCTCACTTAACAGGATTGTAAGTAACTGATCAATTTAAAAAGACAATTTTTTTAAAAAAATGAAACAACACACCACACTTAGAGCATGCCTTCAGCAACATACAACCATAAACACCAAGATTTATCCAATAGCCTAGCCAAATGCTTGGGCAAGAACAAGGTTCTCAATGTCTTATGAAAAGCCAGCAGGATCAGGGTTGTCTTGAATTTAAGGAAGGTCTTGTGACAGAGAAGGCTGGTTCCAAAGATATTTAACAGAGAGAACCTGGAGCCCACCCTATCAGATTTTGTGGAATGAAGAAAAATGGTTGCAGATAGGCGATTTTGCAGATAACCTGGCTCGATTCAACAAAGAGCTTTTTAGGTGACGATTAGCACCTTGAATAGCACTCAAAAGACCACTTGGAATCAGAGTTACTCACAAGTAGAATAGGTATATCAATACACATTCGTAACTACTCACACCACTGAACCTTCCAAATTGTCTTCCAGGGCAGTCTATATAGAGCACATTGCAATAATTTGGATGGGAGTGAACAAAGCAACAGTGACAATAAGTAGAGTGTCCTAATCTAGGAATTGGCATGTAAGATAGGCCTCCTATTCATAGATGCTCCTCAAGCAACAACTGAAAGTCTAGGAGGATCCCCAATTTGGGTACCACCTTTCTCCTGGGATGTGCTATCCCACTGAGAAACAAAGATGTTAAATCCTCAGAACTGTCAGGATCCATGAGAACATACATATGCTCTCTTTATTTGCATAAGACAAGCAGGAATGGTGAAGTTATGTTCATATAACACATCTGTCCATAGTTAACTGAATCTTGTTTTATTTAATCAAATTTTCTGGATGCACTGAATACTCGGAACCATAATCTAACTGCAAAATGAGATATTGCAAAACATATTACCTCAAAAAATGATTGGATAGATTGTGATTCAGTGTATTGTGCAAATATAGCCAGTCCAAAACCTGTAGTGTAGTCATTTTCAAGACTATCCTCCATCTGGAGCATGCAAGATTTATTACTGGACAGCCAGCATAACTATGGATTATGTCACTTTCAGATTACCTGAAATTAGAGGAGAAAGTTATTTAAGAATAGCTTTTTTTTCTATTCTCTTGCTACTCTAAATGGCAGTCTTTCGTAATATATTTGGCCTATGCAGGATAAGTGACATTATATCTCTGATACTAATGAGCCCATATCGCTCACTAAGCTTGGTACACCTCATCTGCTTTTAAAAAAATATTAGAAAAGATATTAGAAAATATTAAAAAATATGCTTTTAAAAATATTAGAAAAGATATGGAGAAATAGCATACTATATACAAATAATTAATCTCTAAGTACTTAAAATCTTTCTTGTTGATCTCTGCTGTGACTTCATGGACACATTCTTATAATTTTCTTGGCAACAGTACAGGATGTTTGGCCTTTTTCCATTTTTTAAAATTTCCTCACATATATACCTGCATGTCCAGTCTCCTATTTAAACATTAAGCACCACAGCTAAAAATCTACTTAATTTTTTGAGATCAAGTGAAGTTGTCTAGATGGTGCCACCTACCTGGCTATCAGTCTCAAACATCCTCTTTATTTTCAAGAACACATCTAAGCCACCACACAGATCTCAAAAAAATTCTCAAAAAGAACAAATGGGAAATGAGGGGTGGTGGATGTGGTGAGCATCGTCATCACTTTGTCTTCTGGTGAACTGATGTTTTATAATTAACCACCACCACTATGGCAGTTATTCTGTAAAAAATGCAGCTCTCTAAGGCAATCATTTTGGGAGAGGGTTCGTATTTTAAGTTTTCCAAATGTAGCCACTGTTCTAAAAAGATGGCTTTCCCAGACATAACCAAAAACATTTATTTTGAAAACTTGCCTAATATCGACAAACTATAGTCTTTGAAATATATTCCTTACATGCATTAACAAAAACCCACTTAATTCCTTGTAGTTGTGCCTAAAAAAGAATTACTAAAGTCTCTCTGTAGCCCTGTATCTTAATCAAGGACAACAGATAACTCTCTAGATCTGGTGCCTGTGTGCAGTAAGAAACGAAGATAACAAATGATTAGTTCTCTAACAAGGATAGAAAATGCTCATACTTCTCAGGCCATGAATGTGCTGCTATGCTGCTGTTCAAACATCTAAACAAAATGTGGAAAAGCTTGTGCTCAACCAGACAATAAATCAAATACCACAAAAGTAAGGAGTCCATGACCTTCTAGACACTGCTGAATTACAAATCAGATCAAAACTGGCATGGCCAGAAGTGAGGGATGAGGAGAGCTATAACTCAGTAATACAGTATCAGGATTGCCACATATTTGCCGCTCTTGAAAAGATGAGATGCTTTGATTTTTAGAGGAAGGATGCTTAAAGCTCCTGGACAACTTCTGATCTTTCCCAATATTACATCTTTCTGAATGAAGTAGTTTTCATTTTAAGCATCAAGGCACTTCTTACATTCTCAGATATCAGAAAAGGATTTGATTAAAAATATGAAACAATGATCGTTTGCTAAAAGCTTTTTGAGACTTTACTAAAACCTGCCATCTCTTATTTCATTCCAGTCTCATCTCTGCATAACATATATAGGACCATACAGAAGTGAAGTTGCCTTGATAATATTTCTTTTTCTCAGTCCCTTAATATTGTATCATTAATTTACATGTGTTAAAAGCTTTGTTCTTTGAAATGTCACAGACTTGCATAAAATTGTGCAAACGTCTCATGCATCATCAGAATTAGCACCTCAAAGAAGTGCTAGACTACCGATAACTAATGCAAGGCATATTTTTGAATTACAGCTCCTTTGATCCCCCTTGGAAGGTGTTAAACAGTCCAAATAAAGTTGCTTTCCTGATAAAATAATGTGTACATCTAGCTTTCTTATACCATTTGATAGTAGAAACCAAAGGACTGCAAAATAACATTACTCCAAAAATGCTCAGTATATTTCCTGAGTGGTCAATGTGGAAAATTATGGATCTTTTATTTTTATGCCAAGATACTGAGGATAGGATTACCTTGCTGAACACCTCTGAATTTTCAATTCAAAAGTTTATATGAGCAATACTCTTTTGTTACGGCTTCCTTGGATTCTATTCTATTCTACTTTAGACTTATATCCTGCCTTTTGTACAGAAGCTCCAGGGAACGTAAATAGTGCTTCTCATATTTTTCCCCCCCAAGACCACAACCCCGTGAAGTATGAGTTCAGAATGCCTAACCCTACCAGTGTTTCTCAACCTTGACAATTTTAAGGCATGTGGACTTCAACTCCCAGAATTCCACAGCCAGCAATGCTGGCTGTGGAATTCTGGGAGTTGAAGTCCACATGCCTTAAAATTGTCAAGGTTGAGAAACACTGCCCCAAAGTCACCCAGGTAGCTTCCATAGTTGAAGGTGAAGTAAAACCTACGTCTCCTTATTTCATCTACCAATAACTTAACCCCTATACCGCACTCTAATTAGATTTTTACTCCGCCTTTTCCTAGAATGTTCTAATCTAGGTGTTTTATTTGGCGTAGTGGTCCTACGACATTTGCACCACCCGATTGCACCACCAGGTTCACAGTTTCTTAGGTAAGCAAATTCCTACTCCACCTTCTTAGTGCTTTTGCGAAAACAGATCCCGCGCATTTACAATCAACTCCCGGCTGCTTGGCCGGCGAGAAAACACCTCCCCCCCCCCTCCGCTCAGCAGACTGTAAACATCTCCGCCTCCGAACTCTCCCACTTTCCGCGCGGAAGGAAGAGCCCGTCGGCTGTTCCAACACCTCCTCCCGCGCTGACGCAGAGAACAAACAATCAGCGGGGCCTTGAGCCCCGCCCCTCTCTAACTTTCTGCGCGGAGAGAATTGGAGATAGAGGCTTCCTTTTGCACGGCCCGGCCAATCAAGAGACGGCGTGTCATTTCTCACCCAATCGGGAGAGGCGGTTTGGCGTCCGCCAGACGGAACCCCAGTTTCTGTGATGTAGCCGCTCGCCTTCACCTTCATTGGTTGGTGCTGGTCACGCCCCCCCGTGTGTGGAGGCGGAGGGGACGGCCGCTCATCGTCTGTGTCTCCGGATCTGTTTACTCCTCGCGCTCGGCTCCCCAGCGGCGGCTGAGTGGGTGGCGGCTGCGGCGGCTGCAGCAGCTGAACCGGCGGCGCCGATCGGCAGCTGGGTCACCCCTCCCTTCCCCGCAACATCTGCCGCCTTCGCCCTTCCGACGCAGCCGCGCAGCCCGCAGAGAGAGCGAGAGAGTTGCCCGGGCAGAGCCATGAAGACGGAGATTTCCACGGCCGCGGGCTTCATCACCCGCCTCGTCAGGACCCCCGGCGGCATCGGCGACGAGGAGCTGCGTTGCTTCAGCGAGTCTCTCCAGGAGGCACTCCGAGGTGAGGCAGCGGCGTCCCCCTTTCCGTCTCTGCCTCAGCAGCGCCGCCGCCGGGACGAGCAACACGGAGCCCGGAGCCCCTCAGCCGCCGGTACCGCTGGGCTGAGCCCAAAAAGGACGTCCGTCCGTCCGTCCGTCCGTCCACGCCCGCGGCGCGACAGCAACCTCCTGAGGCGCCTCTACCGGAGACCCAAGTTCCCCAAATCCTGCCTTCCCCCCCCCCCCGCCCCCGGGCAGCTCTCTCGTCCTTTCGCGGTCGGCGTCTCTGGAGCCCTGGAGCAGCTTCGGGCCCCCTCCGCGCTCGACCACCCCATCCCTCCTACCGTTGGCGGGACCCTACTCGGCCTCGGACGTAGCCGAACGGTTTCTCCTGACCGACGGGAGCGGTTCTGGCAGCCTTCCGTCCCGTCCCAGCTTGCGGCCCCCTGCCGGGCTGGTGGCGGTCTGTTTTCGGCTGATTCTGGAGCGTCTCCCCCCCCCCCCCGCTTCCCGTGACCGGCTGTGCAGGCTCTAACCCTTCTCCCGTTTTCTTTTCCTTTGTTCCCTGTTTGCAGATCATTATAAGCACCACTGGTTCCCCTTGATGCCCTCCAAAGGCTCTGGGTACCGCTGCATTAGGATCAATCACAAGATGGACCCCTTGATAGGCAAGGCAGCAGGCATGATTGGACTAAGCCACGAGAGACTCTTCCAGCTCCTGCCCAGCGAACTAACTCTCTGGGTAGACCCGTTTGAAGTGTCCTATCGTATAGGAGAAGATGGATCTATCTGCGTCCTCTACGAAGGCCCTAAACCAGCCATAAAGAATGCCAAAGCTCTGGAGAGCAGAAGCAGCTGTAAAGAGGAATGGAGAATTGGCAGAGCCAGCCCTTCCAAGAACTACAACATGATGACAGTTTCCAGTTAAAAAAAAAAAACAAAAAAACATTCCCTGTACAATGATGTATGTATGTATCCCACTTTGATAATGATGTTAGATGATGTAATTGATATGTTGATTTTCACCCCATAGTCATTAAAGTTGTAGTACTACTGCCAAACTCTTTGTTTTGTGGCCAAGGGCTAATGTATAAAAACAGTTCTTTTACATGTTTTCTGGATTGTATACTGTAAATGAAACTGTACAGTCACTGCAATTGTTTTACAGATTTATATTTTGGAAAAAAAAATATCCTTGGCTATTTGTAATAAAAATGAAATTAATTTCATTTATTTTTTATTTTTATAATGGCTTTTACTTTAGAATAGCGTTCCTACATCATCATTGCACTTCTTGAGCAATAACATAGGGGTGGACATAAGAAAAGAGAGATGGGGATGTGGTTGGGCATTATACACTTTAATAAAAGGGATTTTTAGAACTTAACCAGTAATTTGGCTGCACAAACTTTTGTATTTGGGGATGTAAACACTGCTGTGGAATACAAGTATGCTATGACTAAATATCCAGAATATTTTTCCCCCAAAGTTGTCAACCATGAAATCTGAGTATTATAGAAATTTGCTGAATGGTTTGTTCCTGTCACTTTGGTCAAATATCTATTAAACATTTTAATGTTTTAATATATCCAATATATATTAAATTTAACAATTATTCAAGCCTTCAAAATATAATTGTGAATGCTTTCTTGGGATTAAATTGTCTGTTTTGATCCACAAGTCTAATTTGGAATTATTTATGAAATAACAATATCCTTCCCAAACCTAATGCAACTCAGCAGCTTACATGAATGGAATTATTAAAAGTATTCTCAAATAAAACATATAGGTCAATTTCATAGCACATTTGAATCCAGTGTTTAAATCTATTTATCTACTCTGCTCTGATATTTAAAAATCTATGCTATTGTTCTACTCAAATTTAAAAAGAATCTCACATTCACTGTTTTAGAATCCTAAAAGCTATTTAAAAAAACTTCTCCTAAGGCCTTTGGTCATACCAAGTAGAGTTTGGTTTTGTATGTAATGAATAAGAGCATTGTAGGTTGTTAAACTCTCTAACCTATCTTAATATATCACATTACTAAGGCAAAAGGTGCAGTTAAGGAACAAGTCTGGACAGATCCAAAGTGACACGTAGAACGAATTGAAAGAGTGGAATCTCAATTGTTTTATAATTCAATAAATACAAATTCTGTTTAAAATGGAGATTTCTAATAAAATAGTTCAATAAACTGCATAACATTTTAAAACATATCATGAAATATATTAAAATTATTTTAACTTCAAGATATATTGAGATTCCCCCCCCCCTTAATTGTGTCTAGTTCTTAGAGACTGCCTGGACAAGTCTGTGCAGTTCGCTTGGTGAGTTGTTTTCAGAAGTGGTTTGCCATACTCTCCTTCCTAGGGCTGAGAGAAAGTGAACCCAAGGTCACCTTGGTTCATGCACCTTTCTTTGTAGCCAATTATTTTAACCACCACACCAAAGTGATTCTCACTGAGCTTATAGTCTGCCTTTGAAAGCAGCTATTTAATTTACAAGGAATGAGCTTGTTTCTTTTTTTTTCTGGCCAGTGCAAGTCAATAGTATTTTGTATTCCAAATCCTGGTTAAGTTCATAAAACATAAAGTTAAGTTTTTGAATGCCACTGAATCAGGGAGACCCTCTCTAGGATCATTTCACTCTTCATGCCCTCCAATTGGATAACCAAGATTGCTATAGTTGAATCTATCAACCTACCTTATACATATAGATAAGCATAAATCATATCTTCATAAATGAAAATATATTTTCTCAAATTCTCTGGTAGGACCCCAGAACAACATAAAACCCCAGAATTAAAACTCCATAAAAAAGATTATATATAAAAAGGAAATCTTTTCTGTAATGTAAACCAGGTGGGTGGAGATGAATCTAAATTGTCAGCATTATATATTTGTGCTTAGAAGAATACTGCTTTTTTTCTTTCCTCTTCCTTCCTTTCCCCCCACCCTGCAATTATTGTATATTGTTCCAAAACTGGAACTTTACAGAACATGTACAGTATTAGCTACTAAAATCGTTTAAACTATTCACAAAGATGTTTGGAAGATAACATTATTATATCAAGAACATTTGTTGAAAGTATTAGTGTTTGTTCATAGTATGCCAGTGACATGCGTGCCAAAGTGCTCTAAATAAATCACTGAAATACTTCTGTAAACTAGCCTGCCAAGGGGCTATCAGTATTATTGTGCTTGCCATGGAGAAAAGGAATCCATTTTCTGATGTCAAGCTGGAAAAAGCAGGCTAGCACCTCTTAGCAGTCTACTTGGGGGAAAAATGGCTTTCTGCATGGCTCCATTGATTTCTCTCACACCAGTTAGCTTGGTTTTCCTGCTAGCAATGGAGAACACTTGGAACAGTTCATATAGTGGAATGCAGTTCCTAGTCACCCATAAGGTACCAGGTGTGATATTTAAAACAAGTCCATAGAGATTTTATATGTCAATCATATATATACATATATACTAGGGATTTTTAATCTTGTCAATTTTTTTTTGCTAACTTATGCCATGAAGGTTATTTTTGCTTGATTTCCAACATGTAATTTCTGAGTCACAGTATTATTATTCATACTAATACAGAATTCTTCATATTTCAAGCACTATTTGATCCCTTAAATGTGTAATACAGGACTGGAATTTACCTGTCCTGTGGCTTGTTTGCTGACCTACCTCTCAGTAGCCCCTCTTGACCTACGACATCTACTTCTGAACAAACTTGGATGTAGAAATGTCTGTTACCAATTTTACAGAGCAGAAATTATTCTGCCACTGTAACTTCACATGTAACTGCACTAAAATACTTTTGGTTATTTGGAAACATAGATTTAAATAATGCATTATTACTAACATGTAGTTTAGAAAGGGTATTCAGTAAGAAAAACACAGCACATTAAATCTACATATCATTCTTACTGTACACCTGATGCACGTAACATGATGAACATTGTGTGAAAAAGGAAATGCTATTGTACTTTGGAGCCCAAACTGCTCTAAATATGTTGCTTGGGGTCCAACTTCCCTTTTTTCTCCGTCTTGCTCCATGTGCCCCAGGTGTCAGAGTAAGCAAAAAAGAAATATAAAAGGCTATATTCTGTAGTGTAAAAATCTACATTTAAAAAAGGGGGTTATTTTCACTTTAATAGTCCTTTTGAAAGTAGGAGAAGAAGAAATCACACATAATAGGCAGTGATGATGTTAAGTCCAAATGAGAAAAAGGTGCACCTGAAAGCAAAATGTTTTCATTAAAAAAACCCATACTTGATTATTTTGTATCCTTCCACATCAGGTATACCCAGGTAAACTTGAATGGTGAGTTAAAATCATAATATAAATACTATTTATATCAAAGCTATAGTTAAAAACGCAGCATACAAACAGTAAAATGAGTCATCTAGCAAATTTAGTAAAAAATCACCATATAATATTAGTGGCTTGATGGTAGAAAAACATGCTTAACGGGGGTGGAATGGGGGTGGGGGTGGGAGGGAGAGGATTGACATACCAAGATCTGTATGTGAGAGAGTGAATAGCCCTTCCTTGACAAGGAGATACACCAGCAAGAGCCCCAAGGATGACCTTTTTCAACCCTGGAAAGTTTAAAATGTGTGGACTTCCAACTTCCTGAATTCGCCATCTGGAATCCAGGAGTACCTCAGTAAGATGGCACCCAAAGATGAGGTGTTGAGAGAAAGCCTGGGACAGCAGCAGACATGGGAGGAAAGTCAGGCAAAGGAAGTGCCATGGGAAGACAAGGCCATGGATTAGATGACTATCGAAAGACAGCTTAGCTAGACCCTGCTAAGTCCATATGGGAGATTCCACAGAAAGTTGTAGAGAATAACTTTCTTCCTAAGATCTTGTCGGACTTCCAGATCCAGACAGACAGGCAGGTACTGGCCAGTGAACCAGACATCACGATAGTAGATAAGGACCAGAAGAAAGCAGTGTTGATAGATATAATGGTACCAAATGACAACATCAGGAAGGAGGAACTAGAGAGGATGTGGAAAGTAAATGCCAAAGTGGTCCCAATGGTGGTAGGAGCACTCGGGACTGTGTCTCCTAAGCTGCGAGAATGGCTCCAACAAATCCCAGGAACATCAGAGCTCTCCATCCAGAGAAGTACAGTGCTAGGAATAACTAAGACATTGCACAGAACCCTCCAGATCCCAGCCTTTGATGGAGGACTGAAGATTGAGGAAGACACATATCACCCATAGCAGTCAGAAGTGATTTATTTATTTATTTAGATTGATAAAGAAAAACCAAATGTATTCCTTTATGAAAAATTACAGGATTAATCTTCATATTATAGTATGGAAGTATATGTATATATCTATATATCTATAACTACATCTATATATGTGTGTGTATGTCTGCTGTCAACTCTACAAGTAAGCATGGCTGCAGCCATTTTTCCTCTTCATTTTCAGTTGCCACATAGAATGGAGGGAGGGGGGTTGCCAGGTGCTTCGCTAGTAAAAATAATCTTTTGTCCCATAGGAACCAAGGTCATTGGCTGCTCCCAAGACTGCAGGCTGGGCGTTGTGAAAAAAGCCCATCAACACGATGTATTGGAGAACGTAGTTGCTTGCATAGTTTTAGGCAGTGGTGGGATTCAAATATGTGAACAACCGGTTCTCTGTGTGGATACCGCTTCCATTCTGGGCCTGGGCAACAAAAAATTAGCTACCAGTTCTGCCGAAGTGGTGTGAACTGGCTGAATCTCACCAGTGGTTTTAGGGCTGGGATTTAAGAAGGGGACGACAGAGAATGAGGTGGCTGGATGGAGTCACTGAAGCAGTAGGCATGAACTTAAATGGACTCCAGAAGATGGTAGAGGACAGGAAGACCTGGAGGAACGTTGTCCATGGGGTCGCGATGGGTCGGACACGACTTCGCAATTAACAACAACAACAATTAAGGAATTGTTTACATGTGTCTCCAGACTTGGTTTCACTTTTGACTTGCCGATACTTTGTAATTAATAAACATGTTCTTTGAGGAATTTGCAAGCCTCAGAGTTCTGTTTTATTCGTCTCTGTCTGTTGGAACCATGACATCTGCATTGTACTTCCTGTGAAAATTAATGACTGACAAGTATTCATCTTTACCATGCTGTTGTCCTACAAGATAACAGATGAAAATTACCTGAGACCTCTACCTCCATTCATCCCCAGTTTGAACAGTAATCTGTGACACATCATTACTAATGATTTTTTTTCTGGCGTATGGAGGTAATCTTAGATTTCTGTGTCATCTTTAGACTCCATGGTCCATTGCAGTCGAAGGTTTCATTGTTTGGAATATAGATCAGAGCTTTTACTGTAATGGTATCAGGAGGCAGCCCAGTTGGTTCCATATTAATAACAAAATGTTAAGACCTGTTTCCTCCATTATATCTTCAGTCTCCTCTCCACTGTGGTTTCATCTATGAGGGAGAGGGGTGGTTTAAAAATGTGATAAATAAATAATAATTAGCTCTCCTGTAAACTTTCTCTCTACAGTGTTCTATTTAATATTATTTTGTCACTGAGGGTAAGTTCTGTTTGTTGGCCTGAAAAAGAATTTAAATGTGCATTCAATAAATATCTAGGCAATGTTTTCATCAGCCTTACCCAATTTGTCATTCTCCAGATGTATTAGGACTGCATAAATAGGAATTCT